CCCCCCCCCCTCCCAGCCCAGCCTCTGCCGATGAAGCCAGGCTGCAGCAGCAGCAGCTCACCCTGCCAGCCCCACAGGACCCCACCACAGGCTTCTCACCTGGCTTTGCCCGCTGGGGTGGGAATGGAGGCCCGTAGGAGGGGGCTGGCATCACATCCAGGCTGTGGAGGTGGGTGGCTGGCGGGGGGTGGGTGTCCGCCCACCCACCCCAGGGCGCTGCCCCTGCTGCATCCAGCCTTGGGGCAGCGGCAGGGGGATGGTGGCAGCTCTGGGGACGGGAGGATCCCCTCTTCACCAGAGCGAGCTGGGACAGGGATATCCGCGGGTTAGACGGAGCGGGTACAGCTGGGCAGGTGCAGGACTGCCCGCTCCAGTGCAGTGGGGGCAGGGGCAGTGGTGGCACTTGTGGCCCCAAGGCAGACCCTATCAGCACCTCACCTTCTCATCCAGGTCTTCGTCACTCTCATACATGTCGTCTTGGCCCAGCCACCACTCGTACTCCACATGGACATTGGGGTTGAACTGATTGTTCTGGGCCTGCAGCAGCTGGGGCACAGAGGAGCTCCCTGAGGACCCACCAGCCCTGTCCTGACTGCCCACCAGGGCAACATCTGCAAGCTGCGAGTGGTGCTTCCCAGCAGCAAGGGGGTTTGCAAAAGTCTCCAAACACAGAAATCGGGACGTGGCAGAAGCAAGACTTGGACTCTCTGAGGAGATGCGCTCACTCCACACAGCCTCAGTACAGCTCCAGGTCCCCCTGCCCAGGCACGGCACGACCCCTGCCTCACCTGTCCCAAACCTCTCTGCCCTGAGGGACCCCATGCCCGCTGGACCTCTCTGCACCCTCCTCTGCATCCCACACTGGCACTGGAGATGCTGAGGGGTGTGGGTGGCCCTGCAGGACATGTCCACATGGCTGTGGGTCTCCCACCACTCTCTGCCACTGAGACTTGTCCCAAAACCAGAGGGGAGATGAGACATGATGTCTTACCAGCTCTTCACACAGAGGATGTCTCATCCTCCTGGCAACATCCAGGGCCGTCTCTCCTGCTTCATTAGCTGTGGGGGGCAAACAACAGCCTTGAGCCCTGTGAGCCCTGCCCATGTTCAGCAGAGTGAAGAGCAGTGCTGTGTCAGGGACATCTGGGAGCAAATAACTCTAAAAGAAGAGACAGCCTAAACCCAGACCAAAACCAAGGGCTCAGACCACTAAGGGGTGGTGGTGGGAAGGTGAAGAAGGTGGAAGCAGCTGAGACACCCAGATAAGGAGAGAAAGCAGCACAAGTAAATCCCAGTGAGTCACAGAGATGGGACAGGACAGAGGGACAGAATTGCTCAGTCACGTCACAGCCTAAAGGCTACAAAACCAGAGGCCTCCATAGCTGGCACCCGTTGTCCTCTGTGTCACTGCAGGGAGCTCTGGGCACACCTGGGTCTTGTGTCCTGATGCCTGGTGGACACACAGACTTGCCCAGACACCCAGGTCCCAGTGCGTGCAAGCAGGGGCGTGAGAAATTTGTGAGAAATTTGCCTGCCAAATCACTCTGTGACTGGGGGACATGCAACCAGTCCCTGCCAGCCCACCATGGTCCCTCTGCCCTCTGAGGGGCTGCCACCACTCTGCCTGGAGTGGGAAACGGGAGCATCTCAGGAGCACCCCAGGGAGCAAGGCTCAATGCACCCACCAGCTCGGCTGATACCTGATGGTGGAAACATTTGTCCCCTCCCATTTCACCCAGGATCCTAGTTTTAAAGCTCACTCTGTGTTGTGAAGAGGAGATTCACGGGTACTAGAAGTGCTTGGACCTGTGATCTGGGCTCCAGAGCACCAGCACCAGCGCTTTGGCCGCCCTCCCACCTGCTCTCCAGCATTGCAGTGTTGGCTTTGAAAATTAAAGTGCCTGTTTCAGCTCCTGCTGTGCACGTGCTTTGTGCGGAAGAGCAGCTCAGGCAGGGTTTGCCTTGCTGGGCTCTGCCAGCTTGATGAGCCCACTCCAGCACAGTCCCACCATGGAGCTGGCAACCACAGGCAGGTCTGTGATTGCCCACCTGGGAGGGGAACAAGTGAAGAGGGGCAGAGGTACAAGCTCCCTGGGGTCAGGAGCACTGCAGGGCAAGCTGGTTCCTCCCTGGGGAGCAGAGAGGAGCATCATCCCTTGCTCCAAGCTGTAGAGCAAAGCCACCACCTCTGTGCCAGGCTGCTGAGAGCAGGAACCAGTGAGATGTGATCACCTGACTCACAGAGGGTCACGTACACCCCAAACTGGCTTGTGAACACTGCTGAGCCAACCAAGAGCAGTGTCAGAGCAGGGCACCTCACTGGACACATGGAGAAGAGCCTGGGGCTGAGGCTGTCACCCCACAGGCAGGGTCCCCACCCAACGCCATCATCAACCCACCTCTCCCCAGCCTCTTCCTAGCTGCAGGCAAGCACTGCTGAGCATTTTAGCAAGGCTAAGGAGTGTTTCCAGAGAAGAGCTGAGATGCCACCTCGTGCGTGCATGGGTTTGGGGTGGTTCCACAGTCACTCACTGATGGTGATGTTGGCTTTGGCCTTCAGCAGCAGTTTGAGACACTCGGGTTTGTTGTGAGAGCAGCAGTAGTGCAGTGGTGTGTTCCCCTCCGCCGTCTGCTTTGCCAGGCTCCTGCTGCAGCAGAAGGTGGATAATGTCAGCACCTCTGGGAAAAGTCACCAGCCCCAGCCACAGCAAACACCAGTGCTGGCACACGTGTCCTTTTTCCCACCTCACCTGAAGAAGAGGTGGTCACCACCACCATCACACCTCAACCCAGAGGATACGAGGAAACCCAAGGCCCCTCTGATCTAGAGGTAGTTACCCCAAGCCGAGCCCAAGGCACGTTTGCTGGGAGTTCTGCCCTGGTGTTTTTTCTCTTTTTGGGGAGCATTTTGGAGAAGATCATCAGTCTTCCACCTTTCACTAGCATGGCTTAGCTATTGACAAGTTGACTGGGTGAGCTTACCTGTTCTGGACAAGAAAATCAACGATATGCAAAGAGGTTCGATCAGACAACAGCACTGCCAGGTGGAGAATGGTCTCCCCAGGTTCCTGTAACCAAGAAAAATACAGCAAGGATGAGACTGTGTCTGCCTGCCCCACCACCGCAGAGAGCAGCGCTGTCCCTTAGGGACTGTCCTTACACATTTAGAAGCCCTGAGAGATGAACAGGTTTGACTGTCTCTTCAGAGTCAAGGCCAACAAGGCTGGTGAGAACGTAGTTAACACGTGTAGAGCCATGGCTCGTGGCTTCATGAGGAACAATCAATCATCCCCTTTTCACATTTAGAAACGAAGGCAACCAAAGGTGACTTTTCTCCCCAGGCCAGCAGCTGAACTTTGCCAAGTCCACGATCTCACCAGAGCCCTGGGGTGTGCAACGGCTGCTCCCCACTTGCCAGTTTGTCCCAGGACATGCCATACTGATGGTGAAGTAAAAATGTACTGATTAACGAGTACATCTCAACTACAAATTGGCCTTTGGAAAGCCTTGGGCTTGTGGTCATGACTTCTGGCCCCCATACACATGGCACGAGGAGGGCTGTGGGGTCACAGCCAGCAAACTTCCCTCTGCCATGATGTTCCTCACCCTGCCTGAGTCTGCCTGTTGCTCCCAGCTCACAGAGAGCACCATTTTCATTGGAAAACTCTGTCTCCTCCCAGGAACAGGGACCCTTACGGAGAGGGAATGGCAAAGCTGATTGCCATACGGGCCCATGGGATGGGTGGCCATACCTGCAGAGGTGCCAGCACAGGCTCGCTCAAATCCACGTTCTCTGCATATGCTTGGAGCAAAGAAAATATGTCCTTGTCCTTGACAGCTTCTGGGAGGCTGGAGCACTGAGCAGCAGGCCTCCTCTTGGCATATTTCTTCTCGACATACTTGGAAATGATGAATTTTTTCCGAAAGGCCCTGGCAGAGACCAGCTGAATTAGAGTTAGGGGCAACAGAGCAGCCCAGTGACCATCCTGGGGCCACCCCCCTCCTCTCCTACTGCCCCAGCCACCTTCTCTCTCTCTCCGTCAGACCTGCCAGGCTGTTTAGCACCTTTCTTCTCTCTGTCCTATTCCCCAAACTCCTCTGCAGCAGCATTACAAACCACACAAAGTGGTTTTCTTAAAGCTTCTTCTCCTGCAGTCACATAATTAAGTGAGAACTGGACTTTCACGCACTTAAAGTGTGAGCACTGCCATGGCTGGGGGTGAGGGTCCCTACACCCACTGTGGGAAGCCAAAACCAGCTCCCCATCTTTCCTTCCAGCAGGGATCCCACCACCTTCATCCAATACCCCATGGTCTTGTGCTGGGAGGAATGGGGAAGGGTCAGTGCCTCTCCCTCTCTCCCAGGCACTCAGTGCTTTCCAGAATCCCCTTCACTGCTTCTGCTCTGGCATGAGGAGCCCTGACCCCTCCACTCTTCCCGGGTGGGAGATGCTCAGGGGTGCCCTGGGGATTTATGTGTGGTCCTGGGGATGTTATCTGCTCTCTGCTCCCTTCCCTTCCTCCCCAGCCCTGACCTGTCCTTTGCCTTTTGGACCCGTCTGCTCTCACAGTTCAGTACTGGGCTCAGCTCCCTGAGGGTGAGGATTAGGGGAAGGAGCAGAAATATCAAGGACTGGGAAACACCACATGGCACAAACTGGCTGAAAGTATCCATGGGTCAGGAACAGCTTCCAGAGAAAAAATAGCTGAGTAAGCTGGGTCTCCCACCCTGCAGAAGTCAAGAATGGCAGAAGTGGTGACCAGCCAGAGGATGGTCTAGGGTGGCCACAGGTGCCCCAGGGGCAAAGGAGTGCTCCACACAGAAAAGGCCAGTGAGGAGGAGCTGAATTGTTAATTTCAAGCAATTTCGGTTTCCTCAGCATCCAAGCAGAAGGGTGTATCTGCCAAAAGTGACCACGCTGTTCCAGTGTTTTCCTGCTCTCCCAGCTCCCTGCTGCTCTCCCTGCCACATGCAGTTCCTTATCCACTTTTCACTGCAGGGTAGGTCTACACTGTCTAAGCAAGTGCCTTAGTCAGGACTTACATGCCTGTAATAAAACCTGATCATGCCTGGTCTACCTGCTCTCTAGTCTCCTGAATGTCCCCTTGGCCCCTGAGAATAAACTCCCCAGCTATATGTTTTACCCCAAGAGCTCTGCTGCACCCCAGGTTTATGGCACCAAGCCCTGGAAAAGCCCCCAGATATTGCTGGGACCAGCCATGCCACCCCAGCTCTCCCCTGTCCTCTGCATACCCTCGAGGCTGGGGCACTCCAGGATGAAGGAAAGGGGTTCCTGGATCCTCAGCAGATCCTTGTTTGATGCCTACACTGATCCCACTGATCCTGGACCCCAGCTACTGGGACACAGTGAACCAAAAAAAAACGCTCCCCTCCCATAAAAAAACAAAACAAAACAAACCACCAGCTCTTGCAGAGCAACTCACATGTCACTGTGCACTGTGGGCTTCAGTGAAAAGCTGGGAAGATTCGCTTCCATGATGCTGTTGAAGCCAGAGTTGCTGATGTTCCTCGCCAGCTGCAAAACAGCCAAGCCAGAGGTGACGTGGGACATGCAGCAGCTCTACACACGCGGAAGCAGGAGAGGGAGCTGCAGGCTGAGGGGGTGCCAGGGTGTGTGTTCCCAATGGCCAGAGATTCTGCCCTGACTCCTCCTGCTGAGATCTCCCAACTCCATCAGTGGAACCAGCCCCAGAGCTGACCCCTGGGTGAGCAATGATCCTTGCCAAACACTCCCATTCCTTGCCCTGATGCTCACCAGCTGCCAGCAGCTCCCACCACAGTCCTATCAAACCCATGAGCACCTGGAGCATCATGGCCCTAAAACAGCCCCATGCAAGATCTCCAACCCCCTGCCTGCTCCACAGGCTGCTCTACCCCAGTTCAAGCTTGACCCTGCCCCACAGCTCCCCTGCACCAGGGGACACAGATGGGGAAAGGGGACTGAGGGAGATGAGTGACCCAGCAACAGTGAAATGACTCCCCTCTTTCCTCCTTGAAGATGACAATTCTTGCTACAATAACCACTACACCCTGGGAACTACAGGTGGGTATGGGTCAGTTTAACAGGTGAAAAACCTACTGAATTAACTTAGTTTCAAGAAGGTCACAGCAGAAGCAGGGGGAGGCTTGAGGACAGAGCACACCAGCCACGTCCTACCAGCAATTCAGAGGTTGCCAGCTTGTCCAGAGACAGTGACTGGATGCGGGAAAGATGCACACCCATCTCCCTGTGAATCCCAGAGCACTCAATGCAGATCAGGATGCCCAGGTTAATGGAGAGCCAAGTGGGATCTGTAGAGACAAAACCACCAGGCTCATGCACTTCTCCTGCCTCTCACCCCACCAGCTCCCCACCACCCCAGGGCACAAAATCCACAGCAGGACAGAGGAAAAGGGCAAGACTCCAGATGCCTGCAGGTCTCTAGGAGCTGGATGCTGTGGAGGGCAGAAAAGAGCTCTGCCTGTCCACGGGGGGATGAAGCAGAGCAGTCCCTCAGCCGTGGGCTGGTTCTCACCTGGGGCTGAGCAGTCGCAGCACTCCCTGTTCCCAGGCATGCCTCTGACCTCCTCGATGATGGCCTGGGTGAGCTCCTGCCGGCTGCTCTCCCCTCCACCCTGCGCCTTGCTGAAGACCATGTTCAGTGCCTCCTCCTTGCTGTTGCTGAGGACGGACACCCAGCTGCACGAGCAGAAAGTGGCTCAGGAGCGGGGTCCCATGCAGCCACACTTGGGCTGCAGGGTGAGGAGAGCAGCAGGTCCCACTGCTGCAGGGACAACCTGCTCTGCCCAACCCTGCACAGCAGCCACCACACACCAAGGTCCTACACAGGATTGCAGCAGCAAACTGGGTGCCAGGAGCCTCCATCAAGCTCCATGTACTGCTTGTGGCTGGCCGGACATCCCGGAGCGACCGGGACACAGTCAGGATGGGATGGACATCAAACAAGGGGCTGCAGCATGCTGGTCAATTAGCTGGAGAGCTGGCTCCTCAGCAGCAGCCAGGAGAGCATTTTTTGGCCTGCAGCGAGGCACTGGCTGTACTTACGCGACACAGTCCTGCTCATCCTCTGCCAGGAAGCGGTACGTGCGGTTGTCTGAAACACACAGAGCCACTCTAGGCACCCCCCTCATCCATCTCACCTGCCAGCTTCATGGCAGGGCACAAAGCCCCTAAGCTGGGCTCAGCAGAACTTGGAGCAACCTCCAGCCCAGGCAGCTGGGGTGACAGTCACCTCTGTCTCATTCAGCCCCTCCCCAGTGCACCCCAGGCAAAGGGACGTGCTCCTGTAGCAGGAACGAGGGATGCTGCTGTTAGCTAAGCTGCAGCCCAGGAACTACATGTGCGTGGTCCCCTCACACCCCACACTGCCCCACGGCACTGCTGCCTATCCCATACCCTGCGTGTGCATCACTGCTCCTGAGCAGAGCTGCCTCCTGGCACAATTTCCCCAGGATAATCCCCCCAAGCCGGCTCACATCTGCAGAGCTTCCCCTCATCCACACTGCTTCTCTGAATCCAAAGCACTGCCACCTCTCCGGGCCCTTCCCAGAGGAACCTCAAGGCAGGCACCAGCACTCACGGGAAACCAGATCGAAGCATTTCTTGTCATCCATGTTCGGCTTCACCTGGCAGGTCAGTAAATTCAGCTTGGCTGGTGGGCGGTTGAGCTACAAGCAGAATGAGGAGGCATCAAAGGGCTGTGGTCCAGCGGTGACCAGCACCGCCCATCTCTGGAGACAGAGCCATGGACCAGCCTGGTGCCCAGCACTTGGTCTTTGTCTGTGCTCTCAGAAGCAATGCAAGAAATAGCAACACAGACCTTTTCTTTCCCCAACAGCCACCCCATGTTTGGAGCCGGGTCTCCAGGCTCATGCCCCTCCATGCACACAGGCACGTGAGAACCTCCTGTGTTTGTCTAAATCTCTCTTGGGTTGCAGGGATTTAAGTCTCAACAGAAAACCTCCTACATCAGGGCAGCCCAGCAAGGCAAGCGGCAGGCAGGAGGTTCTGATGAGCCCTGAGAAGCCACTGGTGGGCCTGGCAGTGGCAGGATCTGCAGACCCTGCAGGGACAGGCAGCAGCTCCCAGGCAGGGGCAAAGCACAGTGGAAGAAGCATTTCTTACCATGCTGTGAGAGATGGTCAGGTAGCCATTGCTGATGGTGCATTTCCTCTTCTGCCAGACCTTTCTCAACCTAGAAATGGGCAGAGAGTGAGGCGAGAGGACGCGGGTGCAAAGGAGCTGACACTCAATGTGGCACAGCGTTGGCGAATGCAAGAGCCGTGCAAGGCACAGCCCGGGGCTGCAGCTCCCATCAGACAGGCCAGCTGGGCTGCCAGGGTCAGGGTCTGTCACTCTTGGTCTGTTCTGGCCTGAGAAGGACCCATCCTATGGCATAAGACAGGCTTGTGCAGACAGGCAGCACAGCTAACAGAGCACCAGGCCCTTCACAGAAGCCCTCAGCAAACACCCATCACCTCCACGCTGCTCCTGGGCTGGCTTTCCTGTCCCTGCCATTCGGGGCAGAGCATAACACAGGGGGAAGGTGGAAGAGATCCACCCGAAAGGGGAGAGAGACTGAACTTCAGTCTGCAGTGAAGGAAATTCCTGAGCCCCAGTTCATTATTTCCTGTCCAGTTTCTAGGTTTTTCTAGGACACTTCACAGTCTTTTCCAGGTGCTCAAGTCTCCCAGTGCAGGACCCCTGTGATTCCCAGCAAGCATCCTCCCATGCACTGGTGGGAGATGATCCTCTTTCAAAAGACACTGGACTGCTTTCCAGGATCTCAGGATCTGGCTCCTGGGAGAGGGGCACAGGATGGCTGCTGGCTCTCTCCCCTCTGGCCCACAGTGCCACGTCCAAGGCAGCACTGACCCACGCTGTGTCTAATTCACCCCACATTTCTGCTCCTTCCCCTAATCCTCACCCTCAGGGAGCTGAGCCCAGTACTGAACTGTGAGAGCAGACGGGTCCAAAAGGCAAAGGACAGGTCAGGGCTGGGGAGGAAGGGAAGGGAGCAGAGAGCAGATAACATCCCCAGGACCACACATAAATCCCCAGGGCACCCCTGAGCATCTCCCACCCGGGAAGAGTGGAGGGGTCAGGGCTCCTCATGCCAGAGCAGAAGCAGTGAAGGGGATTCTGGAAAGCACTGAGTGCCTGGGAGAGAGGGAGAGGCAGCGACCCTTCCCCATTCCTCCCAGCACAAGACTATGGGTTATTGGATGAAGGTGGTGGGATCCCTGCTAGAAGGAAAGATGGGGAGCTGGTTTTGGCTTCCCACGGTGGGTGTAGGGACCCTCACCCCCAGTGCTTGCAGGGCTTGAGAGGACATTGGGCACCTTCACAGGAGAGGAATACCCTCAGAGCTGAAAGATGGACTCAGGCTGCCTGGAGCTCCATGTTGAAAGCTGTTGGAGGCTGGGACAATGTCCAGCACAGCTTCATGTGTGCTTGTCCTGTTCCTCTGCCTTGTGGCCACCACAGGGAGAAGAGGTTGGTCTCGGTGAGCCCTGCTCTGGCCCCAGGTCACCAAAACACAACTGGAAGGGGCCTCTGCTGGATCCCAACTTACCCATCACTTTTCTTGAAGAGGGTTCCCGACCTCTCCGTGCCGAACTGCTTGTTCCCTTGCAGCTGGTGCATGTTGTACCCTGCCTGCTTGTTCCCAGGGTCCTGGCAGGAGGAGAGAAATAGCAGCAGGGCCCTACCCCACCAGTACTGCTGGCAAACAAGAGCAAGTCCTCACGGGACTGCCAGGAACCCTGTGCTCCCCCCGAGCTCCCCAGAAACCCCGCGGCTTTCTGCATTGGCAGGCAGAAAGCAGCTGCCATGCCACGTCCTCTGCAGGCAGCGCCCCACGTTCCCTCACAAGAAGCATCAAATTTTACCTCTTTCTGCTCCAGCTGCAACACCGTTTTCAGCTGGTCCCGAAGGGAGCAGAGCTGTTTCTTCTCCTCGTCCTGCCTGATCTTCATCTGAAAGGTGCTGGAGCTCAGTGAGCCACTCACACAGCAGGAGGAGGCTCCTGCCTCGGCTGCAGCATCCCACTCCTTCTCCTGGGCCCAGGAAGGTGCCCCCACGCCACCCTCTGCCCTCCCCACCTCCATGGGACACACTGAGCCTCATTCCTGCGGTGGGAGGGAGGTTGCTGCTCATCCCCCGCAGTGCCATGGTATGTGGCATGTGCAAGAAGCACTTCAGTGGAAACCTCGCTGCGGGGAGGGAGCAGGCATGTCCCCAGCGTGGGGACTCCTGCAGTGCGAGACCCCGGGAGATCGGGCTGCATTTCACTGAGAAAAGAGCAGTTTGCAGCTCTCCACACTGTAAAAAACAACCAACAGCTTGAAGGTCACTGTGGTGCTTGTTGTTTTTTTTTTTTTCCCTTGGTAGTGTCAGTAATTAAAATAATTAAAAGGCCTCCAAGCCGTCAAAAAGTTGATGGATCCTGGCACAGGAATGTGGCCCTGAAACAGAGCCTGGGGGTTTGTCTACATGAGGGTTCCATAAGATGCTCCTTGCTCAGTTACCCTGCTCTGGGGATGCACCTCCCCTCTTTTTGTTATTTACATAATGAATATTAATATGAATTATTACAAATTATGGAAATTATAGAAAGCAGATTAATTCCAACAAAGCAGCAGATGCTCAGAGGAGACCTGCGCTACGGGACCAGGGGAGACGAGTACAAGTGATGCTGACTGCTGACAGTATCCAGGTGAGGACCATATCCCAAGCCTCTGCAAATATTGACTTGCAAGGAGGTATGGAGGAGGATAAGCAAGCCCAAGCAAACTGGAACAGGGGTCTAGAAATGCTGGGAAACCAACATAAACCCTCTGCTGCACTTGGAGGATGTTGTATCCCCTGGGATGTGAGTGCTCAGACTGTCTCTGAAAGCCTTGCCACTTGGAAATACTCCTCTCAGTCTCAGGGCTGTGCAGGACTGGCAGAGCCCAAAGTCAAAAGCTAAAGTTCACAAGGCTGACGTGAGCTGCCTCTGCAGCAGAACAGAGCCCCCGAGGAAATGCAGTAAGAGCTTGAGCTGGCAGCAAGAGGCATGGAAAGCTGAGAGCACAAATGAGAACTGTGGGAGCCTGCAGAGCAGCTAGAGCTTTGGCAGATGAGTACGTTAGTGCCTCCTTGGTACCCATGTTTACACTTGTTCTTCCTACTCTGTGTCCTGGGGTACGGCACCCTAGTTTTCCCACTCCCAGTGATGGCTGCATTTCACCCCTCCATGGGCCACCGTGCATCAGAGGATCAGGAAACAATGATTAATTGATGTGAGGAGCTGCAAAAGTCCTCAGTTCTGCTTCTGCAGAGGAGGGGAGGGCCCTGGGGAAGGCATCCCTACTCTCTCCAGCCTGCTCCTGCTCGCTGCACCCAACTTCAGATGAATACTCACACTCTGCAGCTCCGGGATGAGCTTCTCTGTAAACTGCTTAAGTTTTGCCGTTGTGTTTAAACATTCCTGGAAAAAACTGAGAGGAGAGGCTAATGTGAAGGGAAGTCCTGAAATCCTACTCTTAGCACTGGCTGTGAAGCCTACAGACCCCAGGCTCCCCTGAGCTCCTGCCTCAGAGCCCATCGTGCCCTCAGCAGGCAGCATTTTCACTTCATAGCTGAAAAAATCTTTCTTAGGAAGTGTATTTTAGAAAGATTTGGAGGCAGTTAAATTGAGGGAGGGTGCTCAGCACTCTGTCTTCTTTGCACCTCACATTTCTGCTTCACACTGGCTCATGAACAAGGGGAAATGGCTTTAAAGGGGAGGTTTAGATTAGATATTAGGAAGAAGTTCTTCACTGTGAGGGTGGTCAGACACTGGAACAGGTTGCCCAGAGAAGCTGTGGCTGCTCCTCCCTGGAAGTGTTGAAGGCCAGGTTGGATGAGGCTTTGAGCAACCTGGTCTAGTGGAAGGTGTCCCTGCTGCTGGCAGGGGGGTTGGAACTGGATGAGCTTTAAGGTCCCTTCCAACTCAAACCAGCCTGTGATTCTATTAAAAAGTCAGACTAAAGAGAAAACACACCCCATTGAGATCCTTGCCTCCACCACCTCTAGGAGAAGAGGACTTCCAGCAATTTATGGGACAGGCCAAGCTGACTGCAGGAAGCCAGGTCCTGCAAGTTAAGCCACCCCCAAGTCCCCCCTACAACCAGTGCTTCTGGGGAGAAAGGGTGTGCAGGCAGGTTACCAGTCGCTCTTACTTGAGCTGTGAGCTGCAGTGCTTGATGTGGTTTTGCAGGAGGTCAGTCCCTTTCTTGGTTTTGATCTCGTTCACTTTGATTAGATACTGAAGGGAAAAGGACACAGGGACTGAATTTGTAGCTTAGAGAGAAATGCCTTTAATGCACTTTTTGATGGTCTCTGTCCCAGTGCATTGAGGCCCATCCTGGCAGTCATGCCCTGATGGGAGCTTCTCATGTGGCTTATGGGGTGAGGAGATGGAGGTAAACAGGGCCCGGTACTTTGATCTGGCCAATACAGTGGTGGCCCCACGGTGGTAGCATGGACCCTAGGCTTGCTGGGCTTTACTTATGCAGGGCAAACACTCAGTTAATACACTCTCAAAGATTCACTATTCATGGTGCCTTCACGGAAGAAGAGCCAGGTTTCCTATAGACCTTCAAACTTCATCACTCAAGAGACAGGTTTCTCCAAGACCCACTAGAATTGATTAATGAACTGTTCCACCTCCATCTGTCCCTACCAACAACATCAGTGCTGTGAGCCTGCCTATATCTTACATGCAGCTGGCATCTCAGCCTGCCTTCAGGACCTTCAGAAGCAAGCTGAAGGTTCAGATTTCAAGCCCAAACTTAGCTGCCACCTCATCCAGCCCATCCTCCACCATAACAACCTCACCCGTGAAAACCAGCACTGGCCCTTTCTGTCAGTGGAATGACAACGTGAAAGTGTGTTGTCTGTGAAACACGTTGAGTATTTCTCCATCCATCTCTGGACTACTTCTACACCAGCATCAGCTCTTTTGACATTGCAACTCCTGTAAAAACAGCAGCCTACAAACAACCATTTCCAGAAGACCCATGGGCAAACATAGTAAATCACCTTCCAAAATGCATGATCAACATGGTCAACCTCATATTTCACTGTATTTATTCTGAGGGGATCATTCAAAACACCCTTGATCCATTAGAAGTGTTTCCTAGAAGACACCCTCTCAAGAACCCAAATGTCACATGTGGACTCACAGGAAACCCCATCTGCAGGGGAGTTGAGCTGACTTTATCCCACCAAGTGGAGGGAGGGCTATGGTGGAACCATCTGAGAAGGAACAGCAGTGCCCAGTAGGCAGCTGGGAAGAAGCTTGGATCCAAAGCCTTTGTGGGATTTTTCCTGAGTTGTTATCTCTACTGACAGGTAAATATAGGCTCAAGCTTTGGCTAAACTCCTTGATGAGTCCCTGCTTCAGGTTGGCTTGAACCTACCACAATCCAGGCAGCTGAGCAGTGGTCCCTGGGGATCTGCAGCCCACCTCGGTGCTGCGCCCCAGGGAGTTCTGGGGGACTTCAGCATCCCAGGAGGGCAGAAAGGGACGTGCAATACCCTGAACACAAGCATTACTCACTGACCAGGAAGAGAAGATGGCCCTGAATTAAAAATCAGTGTAGATTCAGACAAAAAAGCTGCTTTGAAGCAGCCCCAGGTCAGAGGGCAAGTGAGAAACACCAGTGTGAGAGTGACTGCTGGTGTCTGCCCGCTCAGACTGGGCTCTGCTGTGCACCAGTGGAAGGGAAATTCATCCCTTGAAAGCCATTTCAGCGACTCTTCTGCTCTGCATGGCACAGGCTGGTCCCTGTCCTTACCTCACACATGTTCAACTGGAAGGTCCTGCGCTCCTTCTCCATCTCCTCAGCAATCTCCCCCCCGCTCACCTCCCTCCTGACCATGCCATGCTGCTTCGCCAGCTCTCGCTTCTCCTTCTCGATCTTGGCACTCAAGGGAAGAGGAGAGACATGTGAAAAGCTCCATCTGATTGCTTGCCAGCAAAAGCAGACAAAACCCAGCCTCCAAGACCAGGCCTTGGGGTGAGGGAGCCTGAAGACTTACAGCTTGCTCTCATAGTCTTTGCAGGCCTTCTCAAAGGGCTTCTTGAACTCCTAGGAAGAGCCAAAGGCACCATTGAATGACTACAACCAGGACAGAGCCTTCCTCATCCTCAGCATACTGGGTGACCCTAGCATAAAGGGTCCTGCAGACCCAGGACATGGCTGTGCTCACGTGTGTCCCTTCCCAGGAAGGTCCTCTCCTCTGCTCAGCACATAGCAGACAAGTGCACTCACCAGTGCAGGTTCACTCATGGGCACATGCTTACACACACATGCAAATACACGTGGGCTCCAACACATACATCACACACGTGTACATCACATGGGTGCCCGCAGCACACGGCGGTACCCAGCTGGAACACCTTTCCCACACTCACCGTTTGAAGGGCAGAATAAATTGTTCAAGACACACACAAGCTAAAAAAAAATACCACCCAGGTTCTTACCTGCTGAAGCCAGCATGTCATGTGTAACCAAAACACCACTGAGGGAGACATCAAAAACCCACCCCAACCTGGCAACAGCAGCACAGTCTGATTCTTCCTCAGGTTCTTCCTCAGATTCTTCCTCACTCATTTAATCGTCTTGCTGCTAAAAACCCATCATCTGTTTCTCATTTGACTTTGCGTGACGGTAACATCTCTCCAGTGATTACCATCTCGGTAATCTACATTTGTCCGCTCAGATCACCCATGTTCTGCCCTGTTCTCACCACTTACTGCTCTGCAAACCTCTATGTCAAAGACAGACAGAGTAAATCAGGTTGGAGGGCATTTCAGGAGCACCTAAGGAACCTGAAGGTGCA